CTTTATTTAAAAAAACAAACAAAAAAACATGGTAGCTGGGCGCTGCCATGGGGGACACAAGAATGGGAAGGCCCCCCGCGCACACCTAAATTATACTAGGTTATTTTGATGGTGTCAAGAGCCTCATCCCTACATCCCTATCCTGGTGGATCTGGGGGTCTGGAATGAGGGGACCTAGTCCCCTATTTTGATGGGGACAAGGGCCTCATCCCCACATCCCTACCCTGGTAGATCTTGGGGGGGAGGCGGGGGGGAACCTAGTCCCTTATTTTGATGGTGTCAAGGGCCTCATCCCTACATCCCAATCCTGGTGGATCTGGAGGTCTGGAAGGAGGGGACCTAGTCCGTTATTTTGATGGGGACGAGAGCCTCATCCCTACTTCCCTATCCTGGTGGATCTTGGGGGGGGAGGGAAACCTAGTCCCTTATTTTGATGGTGTCAAGGTCCTCATCCCTACATCCCAATCCTGGTGGATCTGGGGGTCTGGAAGGAGGGGACCTAGTCCGTTATTTTGATGGGAAAAGGGGCCTCATCCCCACATCCCTATCCTGGTGGATCTTGGGGGGGGGAGGGAAACCTAGTCCCTTATTTTGATGGGAAAAGGGGTCCTCATCCCCACATCCCTATTCACTTATAAATGGGGGGGAAAAATACCCACAGCGCTGAATACGTTTTTCAAAACAAACAAAAAAGTCCACAATTTAAATCCAACATGTAGATCCATCAGCGATCACAATGAACAACACCGTGATGACCCTCCTACACAAACAGGACTCCCATCACAGATGACATTTCCGCCGGCGCTGCTGGGATGCAAACCCACCGGATAACCCAGCTGATGTCATTGACCATATATATATATATCGTCATGACCATCCTTATTTAATTGGAAATCAACAGGAACACAGAGTCAGAAAGTTACATTGTAACCACGCAAGAGGAATATTACATTATACAAGCAGTACGGTAACACTACCACCTAGTGGCAGAACTATGAATTGCAGGATGATATATGAGAAAGATTGTTGCACCTATGTCTGTATAAAAAGCATGCTAACAGCACCGCAGGGGGAGACTTTTAAAGCAGGTTGATGCAGCTTCTATTGAACTCCAAATAAGCAGCGTGCATGCCACATGTGCCCATCAACACAAGCCCTAAGCCCACTGACACTGACCCCTATACAGAGAGTGAAGCCGGCCACAATCAACCAGCATTGGTCACGTTTGGGCAGTAGGATATTTTCAGTGTTATGTACTATCCAGTATCAGCCCGGCAGCCTGATGTGGCCGGGTTTAGAGCTCACTGGACTCTGCGCAGAAGAAGGAGCCGGATTCACGGCGTCTTCCTCTGCTCACAGCTACCAAGTTTCCCTTTGGAAGGCGGAGGGAAAGGGTTAACGTGCCTGTCATGCATGGTTACCCAGTTTTGAGCGGAGACAGATTGCTTTTCATACATGATTTATAAGCTCTGAAACCTTTTTATACCACACCAGTAAAATCCGCCCAACCAATATGAAGAGCAGGCGCTATATATAGGCCCATCTAAAAGGGCCAACGTGGAAAAACAATCACATTCTATCTATCTATCTATCTATCTATCTATCTATCTATCTATCTATCTATCTATCTACCCCCATTGATCTATCATTCTATCTATCTATCTATCTATCTATCTATCTATCTATCTATCTATCTATCTATCTATCTACATACCCCCATTGATCTATCTATCTATCTATCTACCCCCATTGATCTATCCTTCTATCTATCTATCTATCTATCTATCTATCTATCTATCTATCTATCTATCTATCTATCTATCTATCTACATACCCCCATTGATCTATCTATCTATCTATCTATCTATCTATCTACATACCCCCATTGATCTATCTATCTATCTATCTATCTATCTATCTACATACCCCCATTGATCTATCTATCTATCTATCTATCTATCTATCTACATACCCCCATTGATCTATCTATCTATCTATCTATCTATCTATCTACATACCCCCATTGATCTATCTATCTATCTATCTATCTATCTATCTACATACCCCCATTGATCTATCTATCTATCTATCTATCTATCTATCTACATACCCCCATTGATCTATCTATCTATCTATCTATCTATCTATCTACATACCCCCATTGATCTATCTATCTATCTATCTATCTATCTATCTACATACCCCCATTGATCTATCTATCTATCTATCTATCTATCTATCTACATACCCCCATTGATCTATCTATCTATCTATCTATCTATCTATCTACATACCCCCATTGATCTATCTATCTATCTATCTATCTATCTATCTACATACCCCCATTGATCTATCTATCTATCTATCTATCTATCTATCCTTCTATCTATCAATCTACCCCATTGATCTATCCTTCTATCTATCTATCTATCTATCTATCTATCTATCTATCTATCTATCTATCTGGCCATATTTAGTGTTAGGGGTGAGGCAGGGGTTGAAGGTGAGGTTTATGGGAAGGGGTCATTGATCTATCCTTCTATCTATCCTTCTATCTATCTATCTATCTATCTATCTATCTATCTATCTATCTATCAATCTACCCCCATTGATCTATCCTTCTATCTATCTATCTATCTATCTATCAATCTATCTATCTATCTATCTATCTATCTATCTATCTATCTATCTATCTATCTATCTATCTATCTATCTGGCCATATTTAGTGTTAGGGGTGAGGCAGGGGTTGAAGGTGAGGTTTATGGGAAGGGGTCATGATAACAATCAGTACTATGTCTCTGTTGGGTGTGATATCGGTATTTATGGGGAATGTGAAGTGTATAATATACATAAATAATGATTAGTGATGAAAATCACCTATAACAGTCACAAAAGACCTTTTATTGCTGTGTCCAGTTGTAGTCGGCTTGAATGATCCAGATAGTAATATACTGTTCGCTACCAACATCCATCCTTCCAATCAGAGACGTCAGAACAATGATGGAGGACGGCAGGTCAGTCACTTTGGGTTCTGAAGTTTCCACATGACTCATTTCCTAACTGAATCGACCTTCCACCCAAGACTGATATTTCCTTTACAGGTCGTCTGTAATGGCTGCAATAAGCCACAAATGCCTTATATCTCTCTGGACCTTCTGTAGCAGGATATTCTCATTGTAGTTCTGCCAGTTTTAGGGAGAGTCTCACTCCTCCAGCTCCATTCTACTTCGTGTACACTGCCAACTAAAATTACAAGACTTCTTTTTGTGAACTGATGGGGTGTGTGCTGGACAACCTGCGACATATGAAACCAATGGGGGGATCCGGTAATCCAGATCCCACCCAGAACTAAAGTATCAGAATTGGGTGGACTGACCCGTTCAATGAAAAAATATACTTGCCAGTAACAAATCGTTTTGCAGCACACAGATCGTTTTGCAGTGAATGTCACCACACATTCCCACATTCACCTGTTCAAGTCACCCAGGTGTCATCTAAAACCTGTACAACTGCGCCATACTCAGATAACCAGACCTGATGACGGAACCAGGACAATCAACGGTTCTCTGGCTCTTTATTGACCCGAATATTTCCCCATACATGTCTCTGATCCCACAATTGAGGAATACAGATGATTGTGATCATAGAGAAGAGCAAATCATCAAAGGTTCGGTTTTGTAATGGTTTTTCGAGTCTTGGTTGAAGTTTGTGAACTTTGTGGTGGACCCCATTGAAGTCTAAGGGTGGCGGGGGAGGAATAAGTGAGGTGCTGGATACAGATCCCCAAAACGATGAGAATAACAAAGTCCTTAAGTCCACGTGGCTTGTATTGGGCGGCCCTCCACTGTGTAGGAATCTCCCCAGGAGTCAGGGTGACCATATAAACCAAAAGGAGTCCAAAATGATTTATTTAGGGTTCTAATAACCCTAACAGGAAAAAAAGTGGCATCAAAAGCATTTCGGGGGCCAAAAAAGTTCAAATCTTCTATATTTTTTAGTAGCCCTGATGAAGGGGGGTTGTTTTGCCCCAGAAACGAGTTGGGTGACACTATTTCCCTGTTGTGGTCAGAATCCTGTTTTTGGATTCTAAGACCATCTGTTTGGCGCTCCTTTTAGTTCTATAGAAAGGGGGCTGGGTTTTCCATTCTTTCACCTTATTGGTTCTTGGGACTCAACTGACCAGGTGACAGGCTAGGGAGTTATAGGTAGTCCCTTATTCCTGCTGTCACACCTGCAAACCCTTCAGCCAAAAATTTGAAGTCTGCAAAGTTGGCAAATCCAGGGGATTCACCACGCAACCATGAACCCAACCATGAACCCATGAACCCAAACCTCACCCTTATCCATGAATTACACGATTCCCTGCAGACCAGGAAATTCTGCATGCCTCCTGCCAAACGTTCAAACATGGAAGTCTCGCGAAGCCAGTAGATTTACCGCTTACCCATTGTAGTTTGATGTTAGCGAATCCAGGAGATTCACCACACACCCATGGTAGCCATGAACCCGAACCTCAACCCAATTCATGAATCATAGAATTCTCTGAAGACCAGAATATTCTTCATGTCACCTTGCAGAAAGTTCACAATGTGCAAATGTTGCGAATCCAATCGATTGGCCGCAAACCCAATGTAGTTTCAGACCCGAACCTCAACCCTGAATTATACGATTCTCTGCAGACCAGAAAATTCCACACGCCTCCTGCCAAAACTTTGCGCAACGCAAACTAGGAAAATCCAGATGATTCGCTGCAAATCCATCATCGCGGCGACACTAAACCTCGCCGCTGTTCGTGAATTATATTAATCTCTGCAGACCAGACAATTTTGCATGCATCCGGCGAGAAGTCCCCCATGGTAGCTGCGAACCCAAACCTCACCCTTAGTCACCCGATTCTGTGCAGACCACATTTATTCCAAGCAATCAACAAAAATTAAAAAATCAGATACGTGATTCGATTAGCTCATCACAAAACGCGGCCGTGCCACCGGCGCCTTACCTTTGTTGGTGGTGTACAGGACCAGCAGCGCCACCATGGCGCACGTCATCAGGACCAGCAGCACGGAAAGTCCGATCTCCACCACGCTCCAGGACTTTTTCGCAGTCTTGTTGGATTTTTCCACAATGTCCATCTGACTTTCCGATTTCCCCATTATGGTCACTCTTGAAAAGAAGCAAAAATAGATAAAATCAAAGTCCAGTCTGAGGGGTCAGGGTAGCGGTTGGCTTGACGCCCAGCGATAGTAAGAGCAGCTGATGTTCAGGATGGGGAGAGAGAGAGAGAGAGAGAGAGAGAGAGAGAGAGAGAGAGAGCTGAAGATGGGAGGCAGAGACAGAACAAGATGACAGGAGACAAGAAAATTGCAAAGGCAAATGCAGATTGTGACACGTTCAACAACCTGACAACATAACCACCAGACTAGGAGGAGGAGGATTTTGATACATTGTAACAAAAAACAAAAAAAAGCAAATTACATATATTTTTCCATCTGGTTGTCCACCGTTTTGGGGGCTTCATTTTCCATCTCCTCCAAGTCTCTAAAGTGATATCAATTTCTGGCAGGTGACTTATTCTCTTTATATATCCTTTGAGTGCTGGTTTTTTTTACCCTACTTCCCCAGACCTCATTGATCCCGGTGGGGGGAAGGCTATCGATCCTTTGCCAATCACCTGGCGGTCCAATGTCTTTTCGGGGTGGTTCAGAGCCGCACGTGATCGCCGTAGATCCTCTCGCAGGCTCGATCCTGCCAGGGAGGCTCCGGCAGATCTGAATCGCTTCCACTGTCGAAAATCAGACTCAATAGGAATGGAAACTGCCTTCTGTGGCTTTGCCCGCTGCAGAGTTTCTATAGCAAAGCTCTCTCCCGTCTTCACCTCTGCTAACTCCTTAGAAAAACTTGGGAGCTAAAAAAAAAAAAGGAGGGATGGGGAGGGAGCTCCAGGGGGGGAGCAAGGACAAATTGCAGGGTTAATACTATTAAATTTTCTTTGCTGCTTTTTTTTTTTGCAGTCGCTGCTGTTTTATAACGTTTCATAAAAGAAAGTAAGCACAATGTATTGGGGTCATGGCAGGGCTCTGTATCTAAACCCAAGAACAAACATATAATATAGAGCAGCTCACCTGTCCTTGGATGTGGTTGGCTGCATTAGTTTTCTTTTTTCAGAATTTGTTTACTTTATACACACTTCCTGTCCTAGGCTGACAACACTCACTGCACTGTTTCTATGGAGGAGCATCATTGTCACCCCAGGACAGGATTGTACCTCTGTAACATAGAGGGGCAGGTGTTCTGTAGTCCACAGTGATAACTAGAAACAATGCTATCGGATAACACTTCAGCACAGGCAGAGAGCACTGAAGATAATTAGCTGACAGGATGTCTGTCAGGATCAACAGGCATTTTCTTTTTCCATTTATCGAACAGATATAACAAAATGCTTTCAATAGTATATTTAACCGACCAAAAGGGAGCAAACAAGAGAAGTTAATTGTCGGGGTTTACATAAATTGTAACGCTGATGTTTACATAGTTACCAACATTTCAAAAACATTTCCAGGGACACTTTTTTTTCCTATCATGTAGCAAGTCATTGTAGTCAGAGAATGCACTTTAATTAGGGGCGGGACATTTATAAAATGGGCTTGGCACTACCAGAGGTATAGCATTATATATTGTATAATGGGGCATTTACACTGACCACCAATGTGATGGAAGACGTTACACTGACCAATAATGTAATGGAGAATTTACACTGACTGCAAATCTAATGTAGGTATTTACACTGACCACCAATGTAACGGAGGTATTTACACTGACCACCAATGTAACGGAGGTATTTACGCTCACCACCAATGTAACAGAGGAATTTACACTGACCACCAATGTAACGGAGGTATTTACAATGATTACCAATGTAACAGAGGCATTTACACTGACCACCAATGTAACGGAGGTATTTACACTCACCACCAATGTAACTGAAGAATTTACACTGACCACCAATGTAACAGAGGTAATTACACTCACCACCAATGTAATGGAGGTGTTTAGACTGACCACCAATGTAACGGAGGTATTTACACTGACCACCAATGTAACAGAGGCATTTACACTGACCACCAATGTAACAGCGGTATTTACACTGACCACCAATGTAACAGAGGCATTTACACTGACCACCAATGTAACAGAGGTATATACACTGATTAACAATGTAACGGAGGTATTTACACTGACCACCAATGTAACGGAGGTATTTACACTGACCACCAATGTAACAGAGGCATTTTTTCAAAAAATTTTTTTCCATTCTGCTCCTTTTTTTTGTGGCACTACGGTAGAAATTGCTCGTCGACTTGACCCCCATTAACTATTAGAAAATGAAAAAATGTATGGGTTGATGTGTTTCCTAGGGCACGCCCCTTTCATCAGAACCTCAGGAAACGCGTCAACCTTACACTGCACAGCCGATGCCTTCTTTGCCACACTGAGGACTGTGAGACACTTGTCTGGATGAATCTATACCGATTGCTATTGAAAACGTTTTACACCATCATGTTTGTGAGCAGCCCCTTGTTTTGTCAATCTCTCAGTAAAGCAACAGTAATACACAGGATGGGCGCTTCTTTATTTTTGTGTTAGATGTCTGATGAGAGCGTTCCGATCTGAGGAGGAGCAGCACTCCTGTGACAGGCCAAATGGGAATTCTGTTGTCAGCTGTTAGCGCCAGTGAACTTTGTATATTTATTGAATGTACTGAATGACTAGCAGGGTTATTCACAGAAGGGTGAAGGGTTTGGAGAAGGCAGGAGAAGGGAACAATCTAGGAGAACATAGCTGAACTGGAAATTGAGCTGAATTGGAGAATTTTTCCAAATCAGCTTGTTCAGTTCTCCTGCCTTCTCCAAACCCTTCATACTTTTGTGAATAAACCTGCAGGTCTTTCCATCAATGGATTTGTTCTTCTCTGATGGCACATTGGGCATATTCCAAGATGACAATGCCGGGACTCATCGGGTTCAGATTGTGAAAGAGTGGTTCAGGGGGCATGAGACATAATTGTCACACATGGATTGGCCACCACAGAGTCCACACCTTAACCCTATTGGGAATCTTTGGCATTTAATGGAGAAGACTTTACACAGAGGTCCGACTCTCCCATCATCACTACAAGATCTTGGTGAAAAATGAATGCAACTCTGAATGGAAATAAATGCTGTGACATTGCATAAGTTTTTTGTAATGATGCCACAGGGAATGCATGCCTTAATCAAAACTACAGGCGGTCCAACTAAATATTAGACTTTTTTGGCCAGGCCATGTACGATTCCCTTAGGGGATCTGGAAGGATTTTTTTCCCTGATGGAGCTAAATGGACCATACTTTATAAGGGTTTTTTTCCCTTCCTCTGGATAAGTTGTGGGTAGCCGTGGGCACAGGGTTCTGTTTATGAAGTGTTTCTTTTTAATAATTTTCTTTCTATTGGTTGAACTCGATGGACTTGTGTCTTCTTTCAATCTAACTATGTAACATAAAATAATTAGGCTAATAGGGCGATATAAGAACAGGTCCAGGATAATTAAAAAGAACTTCAGTATCCTTCGGGAGCCATTTAAACCACCTTTTCCATCAACTCCAATGAATTTTACCGAAAAAGCAACATTTTGGCAAAATTTCGGGGAAATGCAGATTGTTATTCTGGCTCATCACTATGGACCATTATCAGTACTAATCCTCCATGACTGAAAGAACTAAAATCCAATGAATGAAAGGGGCGGGGCCAGGGACAGTCAGGCTGGGGAGGCAAGAAAGTGCTGGACGTCCTACAGCCAGGAAATGAGGCGGGCTCTATCTAAATTGCTGCAGCTTCTAATGCACATTGTGAGAAGCTCACAGAGTGCAGTGAAATCAGAGGAAGCTATTTCAGTCCAGGAGAGGAGCCGGTACAACTATGCAAGACTGAAGGGAAGGCAGGAGTTCTGCTTTGAAGAAGCTTAGAGGATCTACAGGTAAGAAGCTTTACAACAGATTAATGAAAAGTGATATGTCCCGATGTCAGACATATTGAAATATAGATTTAAGATTTACATAAACAACTATTTCACATTCAAGCAAAATGACCGGGTGATCCATCTTGCTGAAAGATTGCTCCAAAGAGCTAAAGTTAACCTGAAGCCAATTGTGTCTTTTTTTTTAGTTTTGGATAGAGTGGAGAGGGATTAGAAGACCTATTAGGTTTTTAATACTGTCTATGTCCCCGTTAGGGAGATTCACCCTGGTGAACCTTGTGTGAAAATACCAGATTTTGAATTGTCACCGTAACAGGACTAGATAGGAAATCTGACCAATGGGGACACTAGTTCTGGTGACCCTGCTGACCACCAGGTATTTCCTTCTCTTTGGAGGGATTTCCTCTCCTTTCCTGCTGTGGCTATTGGACAGGAATTGAAGGCAAATCTCCCCAATGGGACACAGATGGTAAAAAAATTAGACAGGGGTCATAACCCTCCCTTACTCTATCCAAAACTAACAAAATAAAAAGTTTTGGCTTCAGTTCTATTTTATTTTTTCCCCATAGTTCTCTTAAGGGTCACAGGAGGACATATACTAACCTCCTCCCGTGAGCCAAAGCTCAGTATATTGTGAGCTACAGCATGCAGAATACTGAGAACGCCGCAGCTGGGACGGATCCCGACAATGCTGTCTGGATCCACCCAGGTGGCTGTTTGACAGTGGGCTCTGCCTATCTAGAGGCAAAGCCAGCTGTACCCGCCCCCTCCCTCGTCCGTTTCTCCAGTCAGCGCTGAAGGATCGGAGCGGGGAGGGGGGGAATCCCTGCAGGGAGCCAAGACTGACAGTCACCGATCTCTTCAGGGAGTGGATCGAGAAGTGAGCGAGCGACGATATGCGTTCGCTCACTTCCCGATCTATTGAGCCGATCTGTGACAGTTTCATTGTCACACGTCGGCTCGAACTATGAGGATGAGTGATTTTCATTCACCTCATAGTTCTCCTTTAACGTATGTGTAAAGATTATTGTATACGTTTATTATATTATTGTATAAGTTTAGTTATAACAATTTAAATGGGTTCAGACCTTTATGAGCACCCTGTATAGGTGCAAGTATCTTATTCTCATTACTGAGGGAAAGCACACTCCTGGGATTTTAAGGAAGCTGAATTGATTAAACATCACTCCCCGGGATGGGCGGAAAGACTTTATTTTGCTGCAAAAAACAGTGATTTCTCCTCCAACATCCCCTGATTTCTCTGTCATTGTGTGACTTGGCTTTACTGCTAAGCAAAGCCATGTGATTGCACTTGTGAGCACAGCCAGCAAGGTAAACATAGCCTCACTGATGTCATCATGTCCATTGTGGGCTCTATGTGATCTTCGTGTAGGCACCGACACGGTAAATACATGTCTTTGTTAGCCAACAATGGGTTAGGGTCAACTCCAATCAAAATTGTTTTTGAATAAAAAGGTGCTTCAGCAGCGGCTTTAGCACAGGCTGAAGTACTTTCTTATCACTATAAGATGT